CTGTTTTGATTTCATACAGTGCAGTTTTCTTAGATCCATTATAAATGAGTTTTAAAAACTTTCATATTCTAGAATCAGAGCTAGCTTTTTTATTGAATTCATTTTTCATACTCCTATTTTCAGATATTAGTTGCTAGTTTTCTACTGAAACATATACAATTTGGGCTTTAGGCTTGAAGAACCCTACTGTCATGGTTTCCAAACCATCATGTCTAACTTAGCCATCTGTAACTCCCATGGAAGGAAGAGGAGAGACTGAAATATGATTTGAAAGCTGTCCAAAATAGAGTGATTTTTTTCCCCCCATAATTTCATTCTGCTCTGGTAAATGAATACAGGTCCCTGGTATATTTTGAAATACAGTCAATGATTATTAAGTTTTCTAGCTTTATTGAGATGTCATTGACATAACATGTAAGTTTAAGATGTACTACATGTTGATTTGATACATGTATATATTGCAAAATGATTACCAGATGATAGTGTTAGCTAACCTCTGTATCGTATCACATGCTTACCATTTCTTTTTTGTGGTGAAGACATTTACAATTTATTCTCTTGACAAATTTCAAATATATATTGCAATATGATTAACTATAATCACCATGCTGTACATTAGATTCCCAGAATTTATTCACCATAAAACTGGAAGTTTGTACTCTTTGCCCAGCATTTCTGCATCTTCCCCACCTGCAGCCCCTGGGAACCACCATTCTATGTTTCTATAAGCTCAGCTTTTTTAGATTCCACATGTAAGTACTTAGATAGCATACAGTATCCATCTTTCTTTCTCTGTCTTATTTCACTTAGCATAATGCCTTAAAGGTTCATCCATGTTGTTGCAAATGGCTGAATTTCCTTTTCTCTTGTGGCTGAATTATATTCCATTGTGTATATATGTTACATATATACCACATCTTCTTTACCCATTCATCCATTGACAGACACTTAAGTTGTTTCCATATCTTGGCTATTGTGAATAATGCTGCAGTGAGCATGGGGGTATAAAATAGCTCTTTGAGATCCTGTTTTCATTTGTCAGTGATTATTAAGACAAGATTATGCATCCATATGATAATCAGTTCCATGAGGAAAGGGATGCTTTTTATTTCGGCAGAATAGTATATATTTAGTGTTTGCAAATGCTCAGTTTTCAGTACATTTGTTTATTCAGTAATATCAGATATGGTAGTAAATGTATACATTAATAATAATGTAAACTTGCCTGGGGTGCCTGAGTGGCTCAGTTGGTTAAGCGTCAGACTCTTGATTTTGACTCAGGTCATAATCTCGGGGTCATGGGATCGGGCCCCATGTTGGGGTAGCCTCAGGAGTCAGATGAGAGTGTGTGTAGTTTAGGAAATTATTATAAAATAATACGCATTTATTTGAAAACTTTGAACAGGACATATGTAAAAGGGTGAAGACTTCCTTGTCTTTTCTCTGCCTCTCACCTCTCAGTCCCACCCCCAGAAGACAGAACTTGGAGAGGGTCCTTCTAGATTTTCATTGTTACTAGTTGTATTATCTTTTCCTTTCTCCTTTCTGGTTATAATGTCACATTAGTATTTTCAAAAGGATTGGAACTAAGGTTTAGCATTGAGTAAATGTATTTACCTTAAACTGTTCATTTTGGTAGAAGATTGAGTTTATGCCAATTAACACTTGTTTTCCTTATTTTATCGATAGGAATAACTTCTAAAGGAAGTTCATTTTTGGAGATAAAAAATATTTAATTTTTTTCCTGAGATTTTATTTTTATTTATTTAAAAATAATTTTCTTGGTTTTTTAAGATTTTATTTATTTGTGTGCAAGAGAGCACAAGCAGGGGGAGCCGCAGACAGAGGGAGACGCAGGCTTCCCTCTGGGCAAGGAGCCCGATGTGGGGCTCGATCCCAAGACCCTGGGATCATGACCTGAGCCACCCAGGCATCCTTTTTCCTGAGACTTTAAAGAAGATGAAAATATTTTTTGAAATCTTTATCTTTTCCCTTCATCTTTCCTTACAATTCCTTATTATTTTTTTTTTAGGAGAGTGCTTGTGCACCAGGGAGCTGGGGGGAGGGGCAGAAGGAGGGAGAGAAAGAATCTTAAGCAGATTTATCCTCAGCGCGGAGCCTAATGCTGGGCTCATCTCATGACCCTGAGATCATGACCTGAGCTGAAATCAAGAGTCTGACATTTAACTTGACTGGGCCACCCAGGGGCCTCTAACAATTCATCTTATATTTGATATTTTCATTATTGATCATGGTTATAGACCTGTTTAAAATATAAATCAGGAAGAAGGAGGTTATAGGACATTAATTATAATGAATGTTTTTATAAAACTATTTCTGGCTCTCTTTGTAGTCTCCCATATATGCACAGAATATGACCATCCCTTGGTTTATTTTTTCTTTCTTTCTTTCTGTCTTTCTTTCTGTATTTCTGTCTTTCTGTCTTTCTTTCT